AATCAAACATTTTTATGCAAATGGTTTGCCGATAGAAAAATATCTTAATTTATGAGCAAATCCTTCTGATCTTAAGTCCAATCGTTTTGTTTCTTACGATTGAAAATAAATTAAATAATAAAATAGAGATAATTATATGCTTTTTGACGTCAATTTATTGTTTTACAAATTATAATAAATATAATGTGCATATAATTAACAAAATATTTATGTTAAAAATCTATTCATCATTAGAAAGTGGTTTATAAAGTGTTTTTAGAAAATCATTTGTAATAACCCTTTTGGGTCTTATTTTTGTTATCAATGAATATGTAATTTAAAAGTTTGTTTCCGATAAACAATTTCTGGTTTTCATCTCAAATAATGTGTTTATTTTGAAAATCGCTTATACCTATCAATTAATTAAATAAAATATATCTCTTATATAAAACTGATTTCAATGACACGTTTGTCAACACAACATCACATTTAACCATTCAATTGATGGAAAGTTTTAGATTATCATAAAAATTAACTTATTTTAAAATTTCAAGCGTTTAATTAGATTATTGTGAAATGTTTTGGATCTCTATATTAGTGACTATAAATTGCAACTAGGTTAAAATGTTCACTAAAATACATTAAATTAGACTATTAATGGATGTTTAGTACATTAATGGACTAATTGTAAGAATATTTTACTTATTTGTATTCAAAAATAAATTAAATTTATTGAGAAATCAATAATGATTTGCTCTAAATTGTAGCATACATTAGCAAGGTGAAAATCAATTAGTTTTATGAATATTTTTGTGCCTCTTTTGTTATTATCATTCTCTGACTGAAACTCATTTTTAGTGTCCATTTATTGTCACGAATTTGAGTACAAAATGGATGGAAATAATGCCTTAAAGTTTGAAATCATTTATTATAAATATATAGAAGTAATGCAATTGTTATGGCATTCAATCAAAAATGAATAGTAATTTTGCAGACAAAACATAATTATTATCGTAAAAATACAAACTTATGTTATAATGCATTACAAAATCGGTATAAATGTGTTAAAATCATTTGCAAACGTGTAAAGACTTCTGCAATACAATGAAAATGATTACAAAATGTTTAGATTTTAAAACATTTTCGCAAAATATGTTTTAGTGTTTTGTTATTTAATTAGCGCTACTTTTCTACGCAAACAGAGTTCAAGTTTAATACAAAATTAATTTTCTCCAAACAATAAATAAAAATTTTGCTTTCAATTGAAATATTTTTTCCGTACAAAAAATCAATTTAAAACCCCTTTTAGACAATGTTTTAAACACATATTCTAATGGCTTATCGATTCAAATAAAAGCAACAATTTTTTATGACATTAGAAATACTTATAATATTAATAATAATAAAATAAAAAAGAGATAACATTATAATGAAGCCTAAGAGGCAAAGTTGTTGAGCTATATTACGACATCGGAGTTGTAATGCAAGTATTTTTTATAATAAATATTATACAATAAACTCTCGCTATCGTCAACTTTTCTCAATAGTGTTCAAAGTTTTTAAAACAATTTTTACATTTTGTCTCAATTTCTTACAGTTTATAAGTTCACTATTTATAGACTCATCTATTGTTATATGCGTACAATTGATTCACTGAATAGTGTACAAACTGGTCGTATACTACGATAATAAGTGTTTAGTGTACTATAGTTACGGTAATATTCAAGAGTGTCTGTAAGCGCCTGGAGCCCAATGGCCTACATTAACGCCGAATGGCATGAGTTTTGCCAAAAAGTTTGTTTTGAAAGCTTTGAAAAGTCTAACACTCGCTGACAAGTACTGAACACTCATTGGAAGTCCCTCTCGACTCTCGATTCTTACGTTTATTTGGAAAAAAGTTTTTTAATTTTTATTCATTCATTCGTATATTATATATGATTTGAGAAAAATGTTTTTCAATTTACAAAGTCTTCGTATAAATAGTCACTTCATTTCTCTCTCATTCGGACTCAAGGTTTGAATGAATGATGAAATCGAAAGAGATTTTAATTTAAAATATGTCTTATTTTATATGAATATGTGAATACATAGTGAATGTGATGTGAAAATAAGCATTAAAAACAAGATTTATTGAAATTTGTATTTCATTTTGATTTTGAATTCTGTGTTTCAAGTATTGGTGCAAATGATGATCGGATTAAGCGTGTAATACTGTATGCGATTTGTGCGGTAATAATGTGTAGATAAGTGTTTTGTAAAAAGTTATTGTGAGTTGTGGTTGTTATGCAATAATTGATGCCATGATTAGTAGCTATCAATCCGTTTTGGACGGATTAAACAAAACTCAAATTATGAGAAATCGGTTGCAATCGTGGAGAACATTGTCTATAGTAAGTGTGATCTACAATATCGACACTTATTTATGATATTTATAATTAATAATCATTGTCACACTAAATTTTCATATGTTATTGGATTATATCATAAGAATTTTGTGAATTTCAGCTAAAAGTGTGTTAATTGTATCGAATATTCTATACGACAAGAGTTTATTAAATAATATTTTAAAATGTTATTTGTTTAATATTTTTTCGATTAATAGTATGATTGACATAATAAGTGCTGTTTTTATGATTATTACTGTTATCGTGTATTTGACATAATAATGAAATGATCTGTATTTAAATATAAAACACTTTAAAATGATTTTCGTAGAGATAGTGTAAAGAAAGTGTTTGATTGAGAAAAATTGTTTGCAATATTGCATTCAAAACTAATTAAATTGGATATGAAATGAAATTTATTTCAAATCATAAGATATCTGATAAAAAAATTATTTTTATGTTTTTTTAAAGCAAAAGTTTATATGAAAAATTACTTTCAATTTAAATTCAATTGAGTATAAAAATGTATGATTTTGTGCACATATTTTGAATCGTTAAATGAATTTATGGTTTACTATTAATTAAAGTAAACTGTTTTATACTGTATATTAAATTTTATTTTCAACTAGTAGCTAGATTCTAGTCTAAAATCTCATTAATTTATTTTAAAAACTTCTAGAAATTTCTAGATCTTAATAAAGCGTTTAATTTGTGAAATCAATTGTAATTTGAATGAAACCATGATATTTGTTAAGACATTATCGATGGCCTAAACAGTAATACTTTATAATATTAGGGAATTAAATAAAATTTTCCAATTTATTTGTTTTTATAATTTAAAAAATGGAAATTCTTTTTAAAAATCCAATAAATTCAATGATAACTTAGATAATAAACTTTCACTATTTGTTTGCATCTATACTACAGTATTAAGTGATTATAAAATGCTATTAAAAGTGCAAATTTCATAATATTCTAAAGAATTGATGAGGAAATTGATTTAAATATGTATTTTCCTCTACTTATTGATAGAAATCAATCTTTTATCAAATGATTGATTGTATGTTTTAATTGAATATAAAATTCTTTTTTTTGTTTGTATTATTAATAAATTACAAACAAATATACTGCATGTAACTTATATTATAATATTATTTATTGGGTAATCTGAATGGTATGCATTACACACAAGAATGTGACATAAAAATTATGTACTTTTAAGTTGAAAAAGTTTTTTGATTTAGTTTTTTTGGTTGCATTTTGTCTCTCAGGGCTTATCATTCTTAGCACTAATACTCTTAACCGGAAAACTATATGAAGTCGACAGAGAAGTTAGTTTTTTAAAGTTTGTTTCCAACGAATGGATTGACAACAGTCTGCCTCCAGAACCGCACAATAATAGTGCGGTTCGTATGCCGTCTAATCTGAAGACAACGCAACAAATGGCTATCTTTCACATCGAGAACTTCAAACAAGACATCGAAATACTAATCGGTTTGCCTTTTAGTGTATTATTAGAAACACATAACAAAACAATAAATTGATTCTTTAAATTTTCAATGCATGAGAGAGAGAGAGAGAGAGAGAGAGAGAACAATGCAAAACAAAATGTGTGAATATATAGAAAGTATAACTAAATGATTAGCGGAAAACAGGAATAACCCAAATGTGAATCAAAAGCCGCTAAACAAATAGAGAAGAAAAACAATACAAAAGAACAAAACAAAAGACATGTTTTGAATCGATTCATAAGAAAATAATAATACAATTCTCGACCCAAATAATGCTAATCACTGATAGAGAGCGACAGAAAAAAGCTTTATTTAAATGTTTATTATATACGCTATTATTTATTCATATGATTACGGCATACGTTATGGTCAACAGTGGAGTTATGGTCGGCCAGGACTACACTCATCCTTAGCCTTGTATTCGTGTTGGTCTACATTATAAGGTATTGCCATTCAGTTTGATTATACATTAATCGCAACCAAATAGATATAAATCTCGATTGACATGTAATTGAAAGCCGAAAAAATTATGATTAATTTAAATTACTTACGCATACCTGTGCTTAGCTGGGCCTGGATGGCATACGCTGTCAGCGAAACACACAGCTCTGTAAGTGTAATACCTGTCCTTATTATTATTTATGCCATTAATTATATTCTTATGACTACAATAGAAAGTGTAGAAAATGATTGTCTACTTATTTAGAGGCAATTAATTTAGGTTTGTTTTCAATGAAATGCAAATCAAATCATTTATAGTCAAGTGATTGAAAGCAAAGCCGGAAAATGTGTTTTTAATGTCAAATCTCGTGAGAGTTTTATAACTATATTAACGAAGACTCTTATGGAATAAATTTAAGCTTAATTTTGTTGGCATCGCTTATACATACATTGAGATACAATTATAAATGCATTTAAAATATAATTTATAAGCATTTTATAAGTTTTGCAAAATATGTTGTCTTAATATACATTAATAATGAATTAATAAATGTCTTAATGTTCTCATTCTCATGAAGTCATGAATGAAAACTCATTACAGAATAGTATTCACTGAATATAAGCAGAAAGATGACACGAAAACACATTCAGTTTTCATATAGTTTTGGAAAAATAAATTTTTGAACGAAAAGCTTAAGTGAATAAACTTTAAGCTAAAAAGTGGAATAATTTGCAAAAATTAGTTTCTCGAAAAAGTAATAAAAATAAATAAAAGATTAATTGGATTGTCATTAATATAGCCCGCAGTCAGGCATAAAATGCTTGGATTAATAAATACAATGTTTTTTAGAAACAACTTTCGATAAATAAATTAGTTTTTTCGAGTGATTTAAGTGTTTCTCAATCAAAATATTTAGCCATAAAACTGAAGTTAAATATATTTTTATTGGTTTTTGGCGCACAGAGAGAGGTCTCATTGAAAACAGTATTATTATTAGCGGTTTTCGCGGCCGTGGATATCGCCGCCAGTGCTGGCTTTGTAATGGTTCGGGTGATTATGGTATGACTTAATCGTGCGAAAACATACCCTACTTATTGAATTTATGGTCACCTTTTTTAGTATGCTATGAGAGATCATTATTTTCCTAAAGACATGCGGATCCCATCGCCCGGTGCCGAACACGACCAGATGGTCGCCTTCACGGCACTCCGATTGGCAACACTTAAGGTATGGTATAGTATAGCAATACCACTCTTGTGTGGCTTTCCATTTGAGTTGTGAATTGATTGCATGATAATTAGTGCGCAAACTTATAATGAGTGTCTGACCCGACAGTCCAGTTCCGGTGCGACCGACGTGTTTGTCTCAGTGATCGTTGGCTTTCTGACCGGTTTGAGAGTGTATTCAGTGATTTGTGCCGTTTCTTACTATAGGAAAGTGCGCAGAGGTTGGCCATCAATCGCTATTTGATTACAATATGACAATATATCACTAATAAATCCATTTCCCAAATCTTATGTTAATCTTCAATAGACTCCATCGGAAGCAGTGATTATTCGAGTGATAAAACTCAAGTCAAAGATATCGACGACTTTCTTAAACAATCGCCGACTTATACGTAAGACATTAATCATTGAATTATTAAAAGTTTATTTGGTTTATGTGTTTATGAATAGTATACTAAATAATTTTTAAACATTTAGTTTAACATTGAGTTTTTATACCAGTATTTTGTTATATAAAAAAAGTTATTTTGTTTGTCATATAAGTCTAATACAGTATAAAGTTAGACTATCATAAGTTAAACTTTTTAAGTGTATGTTTACATTTTGATTTTGAATAAATTTTTCAATTGAATGAACAGAAAGTATTTTTGATGTAATTCTTTATGGATTTGATGCGGATTTAGATTTTGTCATCTCTTCACAAAAGATTTTTTAGGAAAATTTCCACAATTTTGATCGTATATGATATCATTGAATAGTATTTAATAAGACAATTACTATATACAATACTGCATTATACATGTATTATAATAATAGCGCTCAAAAAACTTTGACCCAATATTTTAAGGATTTCCAAAATATTTTGACATCAAATCAATTTATGCCTGAATTCAGAATTTAGTGGTTTTATCCCCAAAATTAAATATTCAGATTTAAACAAAAAACATGAGAGAGAGAGAGAGAGAGAGAGAGAGAGATCCTATAAAATTTATAATCAATAATGTAATCACATTTTGAATTAAAAAACATAAATCATTGGTTTCATGAATTATTAAAAAGCATTTAATTATAAATATGCCAATAATTACAATAATAAGCACTAAAACCTAAAAAACACTGATTTTCTCATTACATGTCGATATATACGGCAATAATAGACCGAAAGTTCGTGCGCTGAACGCCCACAAGGAAAGGGAGCGGCGCTTCTCCATCAGTGGCGTAGAGGACACTATCCTGGAAGAGGAGCGGACGGCCGAACTGCGGATACAGGCGGCAGACATGCCCGGCCACATGCAGAAGGCGGCCGTCCAGAGCACCCAACACGCCATCAAAGTGTACACAACGGAGAAGCACATCGCCGAGAGTGTCAAACAGGACTTCGACCAGTTGTATCAGCCCACCTGGCACTGCATCGTCGGTCGCAATTGGGGCTCATGTGTCACCCACTCCAAGGTAGACACACGTATTACCCCCTCCCTCTTACCCCCCCTTTCGCAAACTCGACCCTCTTATAGATAACCGACTTTTGTTAGGTTTCTAGTTATCAAATATATCGGACGCTATTGTTTTAGGCCTCTGTTTAGTGTTTTATTTTGCAATTGTTTATAGAAATCATTAATGTTTTTGTTTTTTTGTTTATTCCTAAACCCGGTTCCCATTGAAAGGCGTGTTATATAAGGATGTTATACAAAGACTTAACGATTCTTCTCTACAAATCCACTTAAAAGCTCTGAACAAACACTCGTTGGACTCGTATTTGGATAAAAAACGCTTCTCCTGAATGGCCAACACTTGCCGTCAATACAACTCCTAATCCTCTGTCTGTCGGCTCTCAAGCAGTACAACGAAGCGCTCGCTCTTTGCGAGACGGCTCTCGAGGAATATCCCACTCATCTCATTGTACTCCAAGTCATTGAATGTATTGATTATCTGACCGATTGTGCCAAAGGTTTTGTATAAAATGACATTTCTATTGCTATTATTTATATCTGTATCCAAAGATTTTTATAGTTTTATATATATTATCCAAACAAATAATTATTAATCACTTATAACTTATAAGTTATAAGAATACATAAAAGATTGTGAATAAAAATTGTGAATTAATTTTATTAGAAAACAAATTGCATTTTATTATTGATTACAAACAACGGATAAAACTAAGAGAATAGACATCAGGAAGAGATTGATGTAAACCATGGGTTCGGTGCCAGTGTTGCCTACATTGCAGTAATTGGTTGTACAGCACGTCGTGCATAGACTCAGTTTAGTCCTCTCGCCTGAACGGACACACAAAACAACACACCATTAGTATAGTTAGCGGTGGGAACGGTATGGTATGGGACGGGTATGGGACTGGTGGGTCATACCGAGCACGAAGCACCCGTCCTGACAGTGTTGGACGCACTTGCGTTGAATGGCCCAGAATTTGTAGTCGACGGACGACAGGTTGATCTTCGCGTCCAGTCGCTGGACGGCGCAGTAGGTCTCTCCCGGCCCGCACTCCGACCCATACAGCCGTGTGTTATAAGTGCTGTACTTATAGTTACTGTAATAATAGGTTTCGTTAATCACTTTGCATCGGATGTCGTCGATTGTGGAGCACGTATAGCACGACAGGTTCCCGGCGCTCACCACCTCCAGGTGCCCCCCATTCGACACCCCCTCTGTGTGTGTAGGCATTCACCGGAATTGTAGGCATTTTAAGTTAGAATTTAGTTTTTGGTCTCATATTCCGTGCAATTAAATGCAAATTCTGTGATACAATACCTGTGTATATGTCTGATATGAATATATAGAACTGTATGATGAGAATCAAAGTCACAATTTTCATAGCTTTACGACTAAATAGTAATTCATTATTCAATTCCTATGAATATTCTGTCGGACTTATGGTCAGGAAAACAATTATATTATATATTTATAAACATCTGATTGAATGCTAACAAAACGAAACAAGTGAACAAAAACGAGTGAATTGTTTGTATATAAACTCCATATTCTAAGCACTCATACAAAACAAATTCTGTGTATTTGTTGAGCACTTAAGTGATGCTCACATCCAGTGCTCGCACACAGGGATGGGATGTGAAGCTCTGGCAGTTGTTTACCGATCGATACCATAGAGACATCACATTCAGAATTCGTGTAACTTTTAAAATGTTTTAAAATTATTCTTATAATGAATTCATATAAAGAATATTCATTACAATAGTAATATTATAAGTATAGTAATAAATGTAATCTAAATTCTTGTCTCAATTCAACACAAATGTCAAAAAAAAGTAAAAAATTACATATTCTTTGCATTCATATGGTATTCATAAATCAAATATTTATGTGAATCTCATGTAAAACATTATATTTTGGATGCAATACTCAGTTCTCACGGTTACTATCGATCGCCTAATTATCAGACAATAATATTCGTGCGATTCTTGTATTCATAGTGTTATCAATTGAAAGGTATAATACTTTTTATAGACTGACATTCAGTGTGTAATCAAAATTCAAGGTTTCGTTAGCGTTGAGTATGCGATGAATAGCTAAAGCACTCATCATTGGGGGTATAGCTCAGTGGTAGAGCATTCGACTGCAGATCGAGAGGTCCCCGGTTCAAACCCGGGTGCCCCCTCTACTTTTTTCATTTTATTTATTTTATTTTTACACTTTAATACCCCCTTATTATGAACCCTGATTAGTGAACTCTGTTTTAGCATTTGATTCAATGAATAGAAGTCATATCGTATTGTTATTACACCACATGTGAAATGTTAACTTACACAGGTGAAATGTTAATCAAATATTGTGTTCATACCATTACTCCACTTATAGAGCGCTTATTAACCATTTATGTCGTGAATGTATTCTTGAAAAGTACATTAAAATATAATTATAAATAAGTATACACTATAAACAAATAGTGTATTCAATTGACCCGATTTTGTGTATATAATTTGTGATTAATTTTATTGCTAATCGACAAAATGATTTTCAATTGACATTTCCAAAAGCACTGACTTTAATTGCAACAAGTAAGCATTCATTCATTGTATACAAATAAATGGTATTTAACTTATAATTCAAATAAATATAAATATAATAAAATAGATTTATCATAGATTTGAGACAAAATGAGCCAAACTATTAACAAAATGATAAATACTGTCTAACTTAATGTATTTTCTAAGAGCGCAATACAATGCAATGTATTTCATCACACATTCAGTGATAAACTCCTTAAAAAGCAACTCATAATTACAGCACAAATATGTTTGCCTTAAGTTTTTTATCCAAATACGAGTCCAACGAGTGTTTGTTCAGAGCTTTTAAGTGGATTTGTAGAGAAGAATCGTTAAGTCTTTGTATAACATCCTTATATAACACGCCTTTCAATGGGAACCGGGTTTAGG